TGTTTTGTTTATAGGTGATATCTCGGATGAGTTCGAACATTGGGTCATCTCGGATGAAAAAGTAGGTCACAGGAGCTAAAAATAGAAAAAAACCTTGTTAACATCTCCTAGGGTCACAATTTTTTTGACTCAATTGTCATCAAACTTTGGTCAGGAAACTGGTCTATGTCATTGCTGGGAATAAATCGAACATGGGACATCTCGCATGAAAAACTAGGTCACAGGAGCTAAAATAGAAAAATCCTTCGATTAACACTCTAGTGGGCTACTGTTGTGATCCAAATATTCTGTTAATTGGTCTGAAAGTTTGTTTTGATGTTTCTAAGTCAAGATCGAACATGGGTCATCTTGGATGAAAAACTAGGTCACCATTACGCCAAACTATGGAAAAACCTTGTTAACATTCTAAGTGGTCACATTTTCGACTCAATTATCATCAAAACTTGGTCAGGATGCTAGTCTAGGTAATTGCTTGGATGAGTTCGAAATTGCATGTGAAACTAGGTCACCAAGAGCTAAAAATAGAAAATCTTGTTAACACTCTAGTTTTGCTACTGTTTTGATCCAAGTACAATGTATCCTGGAAATTGGTCTGAAAGTTTGTTTTGATGATTTCTAGGTCAGTTTTGAATATGTGTCACCTGGGTAAAAAAACTAGGTCTCACTGCTCAAATATGGATAATCCTTGTTTTTAACATGTAGTGGTCACATTTTTGACTCACCGTGTCATGAGACTTGGTCAGAATGCTTGTCTAGGTAATTGTTTGGATTTGAGTTTGATAAGTCAGGTCAGTCGGCCATCCTAGAGCGTGCCCCGCCGAGATTTTTTCGTCGATTTTTTTTTTCCAGCTTTTTATTGGTGGAGGAAGAACCCAGGTGCCCCTTCGGGGCATTATTTCCAGGGCTCGAGGGGGCACCTGGGTAGAACACTCCACCTTTTTACCTTCCGTAAGCAGCTGGATGGCTTCCTCACATGAAAGATTTCGACCCAAGTGAGGATCGAACCTACAGCGGTGAGGGACCAGTGATGCTCAAGTCAGCGACCTTAACCACTCGGCCACGGAGGCCCCAATTTCAGTCCTCCCAACGTATTTTCCTATATAAATGGTCTGAATTATACGACTCCCTGTCATATGTGACAAGCGACCCTAATTGTCTGATCTCAACGCATTGCTTTGTCTTATTTAAACGACTTTCACACCTTTTAATTGTCCGCTAATCAGATAAATAATACCTGTTTTAACACCCAGAGAGACAAAATAATTAAGTCCAATTATAATCCAGTAGTCAGTACTCTTCAAACAAACTCTACACACCTCTGCTAATTACACGGATTACATGTATACAGGTATCAAGTGACGTAGCGTCTGGAGTAGTACTGCCAAATATGGTAAACATGATGCAATCGATGTGATTTCATAAATAAATCAAGTTTATGTAATTAACTATTCTTTCGTTACATAAATATTGATAGACCCTTCAATAGTGTGCACATGTCGGGCATCCAGGTGTTCGATACGGCCCTGTAGGGCTGGCACTATTGGAGGAGTCTATTAATATCAGTTGAATGTTAACAACTCTTTGTCTTGTTTAACATCATTATATGTGGTGGTTGGTCCATCTATCCGATTCTGATAACGGTTTGAACAAGTCGTCAGTGTGTGGTCCGAGAGTTCACATTTTCTCCAGCAAACAGGCGAACATATTGAAATATAATCAATGCCGTGTAAAATGAAACTTTATAGGATATATAAGGTAGTCTAACTAGACAAAACTCATTTTAATTATCAGGTTAAGACGCGAAAATTTTGACATTACGCGAGGTGTAGTTGCCTAATACACTACAGTATAGAATACTGTATGTAAGGTATCGATAATATAGTTTTATTTTTTAAATTTTTGAGTCAGTGCACAGCCAATGTATAAAGTGTACAAAATTTATTTTTAGTGTTTATTTTAAAAGTGGCCCTAATAAGTGGCCGTGAAACGGTGCTATAAGGAAGTTTATTTTTATTGTTATATTATTTTTACTTCATTAATTTCTTAAATAGGCTGTGCACTAGACTATTTTTCCCATACATTCTCATGATTAATTTCAAAGTTGGGAGGTGCTGGCTACAGATTACCCATAATGTCAAAAAGACTCCATATTGTATATATCCCTTTGCCCCCAGCCCCGTGTTGTTATTTATTATCTTTTTCTTTTTAGCCCTGTAATTGTACATGAAAAATTGTATACTTAAAGCAGCACGCCTCCAGATTAATGCTTATTTTCATGAAAATTTTGAAAATTAGATTAAATGTCAGGCCTCGACATTAGCGGTGGTCCGTTGGTCCGAGACCACTTGATTTTGGCAAGGACCACCTAATTTAAAAACCCACTGGTCCGTTGGACCACTTGAATTTTCTGGTTGATGCAAAGCTCATTTGGAAGAATGGCGATTTGGTCAAAAACAGTTTATATGATTTTGTTAAAAATCTTGTGTCCGATGTACATGTATATGGTTCATTAATCTCTGATTAGTTAAAGAAGTTCTTAAGTCATCGATAACTTTCATTTGAAGTCGCTAACATTTTGTTTTGTAAGTTAAAAGAGTTTAGAATTTGTGATATTAATTTAGGTACAAAATTCATTCAAATGGTGCTAGTAATTATGCATCGTTGGATACCGGCGGCGGAACCATTAACATTTATGTTATGTTACATGTTAATCAACCGTGAGTATCCGATGATGGTAATTATATGATATCGGATAAACTTAAATTTCAGATACTTGAATAACAGCAGCAAACGAAATGATCTGATAGAAATACATCTAGTAATTCTTTGCTATTTATCTTTATTTTAACTGTATAACGATAAGAGATGTATTTCTCCTAGAGTTAAAATTAATTTAAAAGGTTAAAAATACTCAATTTAAAAAATGAATATCAACCAACAAGCAACAGGGAGGTAAAACTTCTGTATTATAAATCTGTGAGAAAAATAAGCTAAACTACAGTTAAACATAACATTACGTTGTAATTATTTTAATAATTTAGATATTTCATTGGTTTCAAAGACAAGAATAAGATAATTTATTAGTTTCATTAAAAATGTTAATCTATTAAAGATACTATGTTACTGTCATGATTATAAGACGTACCACGTATCAGCAATGAATATTTCAATAACAGTAAGAAAATTACAGACACAAATGGTTTCACTATTCCCTAACTTGATTTGAGGGAGAAATCACTTCAATTTGAAAGTTAACATAAATAAGAGCTTTGTTGTGTATTTTTGAATGAGATGAAAACAAACAAACAAATAAATCTACGATAGAGTACCTATTGACTTGCTCTCCTTTTCTAATTAGATGAAAAATACATATCTAAAAATATCTGTTTTCTTTAAAGGTTAATAATACATCTTTGTCATCAAGGTTAAACATTTTTATTTTACATTTCCAGTAAAATGATATAATAATGATAATTGACCACCTATCTTCTGGAAGGACCACCTAACTTTCAAATCTAGTGGTCCGGCGTACCACCTGCTAAAAAAGTTAGTGTCGAGGCCTGAATGTAAATTATTGTAAAGTAACCAAAAGGAATCATTTTACACGTTATCAATGTCCCTTACAACCCATGTTTATTACAACAAGAGGTCAAAATATGCAAAGAATGCCCTTACTGCATTAGTAACGCAGTAGAAATATAGTTATAAATACTGTAAATCGCTCATAACATGAATATAATTACTTGAATCTTGAATCTTTCTACTTTGCCTAAAATCTTAGTACATTTTTCACAAGTTTGATTTATTGAAATATTTTCGCTCATCTGGAGGCATGCAGCTTTAATACTAGTATATGTGAACCCGTGCCCCATATGATCACGGGTTCACTCAAGTATGAGATTTTCTTAAATAAGTTACAAAAAGACTATCTCATCACATTATGGGTAACCAAGTTATTATTATAAGCCATTTTTGGGACTTAGTATTTTTTTCGTATTCTTCTATGAATTGTTTAAGTAATAGAAGATTATTTATTATGTGTGATATCTAAATGCATAATAATTTATATACCATGAGACAGTGATTAATAGATAAGGCCTTTTCCACCACGTTTTAACTATATTTGTTTTATTTTAGAATCAAAGTTGGTAAAAACACGTATACATTGGAATGCAACGGGCACCTGCTAAATTTCTATCCGGTCCGCGCGACAAACTTGTTAAAATAGGTCAACTTAAAACTTGCAGAAATTTTAACAAAATCGGATTGACCTCCTTATTTTGTAAACAATGAATTTTAGACCAATGAGGACAAAGGAGGCAATCTTCTCTAAACGAATCAAAATTACTCTTATAAAGTGGGTGTTCGGTAGAACTTACAAAATTTATAACAAATTCTGCTAATTACACACACACACAATCGATGTGTGTTAACAAATTGAGGTCACAGGTGTAATGAACATAATGAACTGAGTAAACTGGATTAAGACTTCAACTTGTGTTTTAAAAATTATGGAGTGCCAACGGAAGATTTTTTTAGGCAGCATTTTTTTTATTATTTACTAGTACCTTTCTATGGCTGCATGAATAACACAGAAAAATATTGATACCAGACTAGAAAAACCTGGATATGGATATGTTTTTAAAAGTATGATATTTATTTTAAGGATTTGAATGCATCAAATTCAAGTTTATTTTGTACCATAATGATTCAATATAATTCTTATACCAAAAATAAAATTAAATTTTATATGATATACATGCGATTATATTTGCTTAACAGGGATTCTTATTTTATTTACATCAAGTATTTAATTAAAGTACCTATGTGTATTTGCAATTGGTTAGATATTATTTCTTCGCAATGGTATATAGACAGATAGATGGTATTTAAATTTTAATTTTCTATGAGACTGTATTAAGAGACTCCCTGTCATATGTGACCTTTTTCTGAAAATCCCTTGGAAAGTCGCATATGACAGTCTCGATTGTATATTGTAGGAAGCAAAAGACACAAAGGTTTTAGATGTACGTATCTTTCGTAGCTATAAAGGCACAGGGATTGCCGTTCTCACATGTAACTACAGAATATTCATGGTCAACTGTATAGATGATCTGAGAGTAAGAAGGCTGGCCGAAGTTCCAGGTATAATCCTTGTTATTTGTCGAAAAAACATTATCTTAACATTTTTATAAACAATATGTTAAATTGTAATAAAGCTACATCTAATGCATTTTTTACAAAATTTAAAAGTGGTAAAGTTATGTGGTTTCCATAATCTTAGGATGGATTATCAAAAGCGTTGATAAAATGTTACTATTATTTAATACACGTGTGAATATTGTATGTTAACAGAATAAAATGTTCCAGAACAAACTATCATGCTCCTTTTGAAGAAGGATTTTAAAATTTAGCTGGGCCATTTGCTTATGTTGATATATACTTACATTTTTCTTTCCTGCATGTATTTGGGATTTATTATTTTTAGGAATTTAAACAAAAATTTTGTAAACTGCAGGCAACACAGATATAGCTTTATACACTTAAACAAATATTCTGCAAATCAATGAGGTCATTTGCATTATATAATAATACAAAACATAGCATTAAAGCTATTGTTAGTGTTACACTTTAGATGTGTCAATGAAAAATGGCTTTTTTAAATTGTAAATGGTTCTTATTTTATATCAATAGAATATTATATTCATGTAGATTCAATACTAAATTTATTGAACTTGTTGAATAAATTTATTATTAAACCTACATTCATTCCATATCCTCTTTATATTGCACTTTAAACAGATTCATGTATAATTTCAGGTTTAAACAGTGCACCTACAGCATGGGGTATTATAACAATGGATGGTCAGTCCCAGGCACTGGTGGCCAAACAAAATGAGCTGTATCTAGTGGACCATGGAGGACAATACCAGCAACAAGTAAGCTTTATTGTAAATTTTAATAAAAGGTTAATGTTTTGCTTCTTTTATTTAGTTAAATTAACAAAGAAAGAAAGATGAGGTATGCATGTCTACCTAAATATACTTTTATTTATATTAAGATACATGCTAAGTATATGTTAATGTTCATCTGTGCTGCTCTACAGAAATTAGAAACTTCGACGGGAGCGATAGGGACAGGAGAATGTTTCTGATTTCTGTAGAAGAGCTACGTATGAACACTAACATACTTAGTGTCAAGCTTTATTTGGCTTTATTAAAATTCACTTTATTACGTCACTACCTGTCTACTTTTTACAACTGTGGTTCTATGAAGCACTATAAAAAATAGAAGGAAACCCTAAATAAAATTCAATATAGTCGACGCCTTTTGTTCTTCTATGAAAATTAACACAAAGAATTTTTAAGAAATACAGCATTTCTATTGGATGAAAATTAAAGCTGGACACTGATTATAGATGAAGAACATTCTTGGTATGACAATAAATATATGTAGTCATATAAACTAAAGCTGGCCTTGTACTATTTTCTGATTAGCAAAATAATATGTGCATAACCATAGCATGTCATTGCATTTATTAGTTCTTTGTTCATCAGACTTGTTCTTTGTTCATGATAGATTGATAAAAAGACTATTTAATGTTCTTGTGGATTTAAAACCCTTAGTCTGCAGGCAGCCATACAATCATTGCAGACCAAAAGCAACCAGCAGATCTGTACCGTCTGATCATGGTCTGCACTGTTCACTATACATATTCAGTTTGTTAATCTTTTGAAAGTTTTTCTAAAAGTGATAAATGGAAAGGGTCAATTATTACAAACAAGAACATTATTGCCACACCACAATCTAGATAAACAGTACTTGAAGTAATATGTATTGGTTTTATTCTTTAGTTTAGTTTATACAAATTTATTTTAGTTTGATTGTGTTGGAAGCTATAAGCTTATTGAATCACTCTCAAATCCTTTCCTGGAACCAACCAGTACTTAATTTCCCATTACATTCTTTTTGTTCACAGTCTATAGATGTCTCTGTACCAGCTGAAGCCATCATGGATATGGCAATTTCATTCAACAACAAATATCTGGCACTGTTTACAGAGAGTGGTATAGTATGGATAGGATCAGCTGACCTTAAGGTAAATATATAGGTTCAAGTTGGTTTGCTCATTTACTTTGAAACACTAGGCTTGTTCATAGCACTGGAAACAGTTTTGGGTTTTTTTCTTGCTTGAAGGAAAAAATTTTGATTGAGACAGCAGAGTTTAATTGTTGATAGTTTGAATATAGGAGTATATCTTTAAAGAATTCAATGTTCATTTTCTTTATTTTGTCTTTAATTTTTTGAATGGCAATGTAGATTTAAAATCAACCAGTTTGTTTGACCATACTGTTAGAGTTAGTGCAAATTTAAGCTTTTATTAACAGAATAACATATTAAATTTAATTGGAAGTTTTTTAAATGTCTAAAAGCTAATATTGTGAAATTATTTACAGAAAAAGTACTGTGAATTCAACACAAAATCTCACCAGAGACCATCACAGTTCATTTGGTAAGAATTATTTATTTGATGGACTTGTAAATAATACCGTTGTAAGAAATAATCATGAAAGGTTTTATTTAATATGACATGTCTATAATAAGTTTACTTTCGGGTAGAAAATGTATATACATGTATGGACAGTACAGTACATTAAGGACATGAAGAACAGAAATTAATCTTATTTAAAATCGATCTATTTGACTTGTGTGTCTGGTTTTTATGCAGATTTTTTAAACATTTGAATCTATTTGATTTTTTAAAAAAACAACATGTGCCTTAAGATTTGAAAGACCTGTGTGGCTATTTAGGATGCATCTACAAAATAAGACTGACAAGTTATGATTTCAAGTGCAGATATTAATGAAGCTATGTTTTACAAACATCCTAAATATACACTCTTTGGAATCCACATAATTTCAGTATTTAGGTGACCATGGTAAAGATTTCAGTCATTATAAATTCTATGATAGAAAATATGACATTAGTTTAAAAAAATATATGGAATATCATAATATGCTGAATTAAAGGTGTATAAGCTATTGAAGAATGATTTTTATCATTAGTATAATACCCTTATTTTATATTGTAGGAGTGGTCCAGGAGCTGTGGTTGCATTGTGGGATAAATTGATGCTTGTTATTGGTCCAGATAAAGATTATATTTCATATCCTTTACTGCCATATTGTATTTTATCTCATAGGATTGTTAAATGATGAAAATGTCTAGAATTTGATTTGATTTTTGTACATACATGTTTATTAGTTTAATTTCAAATTTTAAAAGAAATGTAAGTGTAGAATATACAAGTATATATAAAATATATGTATACCTTTATGATGAATGATTTTACCAAAACAACAAAGAGATTTTTTGTTATAAAGGTCAGTCTTATGTTACCTTGACATTGACCTAGATTCCAGAATGATTCTACAGTAAGTCTTGTAGAAGAGGAAGACGGTGTCCGTATTGTAGGACGGGACAATGTCGAGTTCTTCCGTAAAGTGCCATGTAAGTGGTATTTTTATAGAATAAAATCGTGAAAGTGAAGGAAAGACATAATTGTTGAATGATATGTACTTACTGGTTCGGATTTTAATAATACATTTATTATAACTTTAGAAACTAGCGGATGATTTATTTTGACATGTTTCTTATAGTAGGATGGCATTACTGTTCTCATAAACCTCATAATCAAATTAAGTTGTCAGTGAGTAAAATGAAGCAACTACTTAGTGTTGTGTTCAAAATGGTAATGGTTATTTACAGGGCAAAAAAACCCAAACATAAATGGGGTTTGATGATATCTTACCTTGCCAACATAACATTGTGTGCACGCTTTTCCCACTGATGTAACGTCTTCGTAACGACAAAACAGTATAGAATTGGGATAATTTTTTTCCCATTTTACCATAATTATGTATAAAAGGAAATTTCTGTAAAATATTTTTTCATTTGTATCCTATATGAATAATTATTGTTAATATTTTCATTCTGTTTCAGTGGTGACAGAACAGATATTTAAGATAGCATCAATGGAGCCTGGAGCCATGCTGTTTGAAGCTTCTAGAGAATTTGAGGTAGGTTTTTGAAGAAATAAAGAGCCGCTGTCTTTGATTACAGGAATAAAATAATTCATAAATTTGTTGAAAATGTACATAAATGATATGCATAATTGCATATCACAATTATCCAATGAAAATCCACTTGATAAACATTAACAGAATGCTACCAAAACTTCATAAATTATACTTATTAATATCTTACAACAACGAAATTAGAAACGCTGCAATGTACCAGTTCTATGCATTAGATAAAAGACAATGTTATTTGTGTGTTTTCATTGAATGGTAAAATACTGTTTTTGTTAATTATCTATGTACCACAATGGAAATCAGTTGGCTTTATGCCTACTCTTTGTGTCATCCTTGGTGCATCAACACATGCACTTTCATGTTCACATGTATATCTTGATGTTGACATTGAATTTGTAGCTGTTTTATGACATGCATTTTTTACCAGAATTAAACTTTCTATAAACTATCTATGTAACATATCTGTATCACTCACTGTCTATGTATTTATATCATATATATGTTGTAATTGTTATGGGTCAGAGGGCTAAAGACTAATTAAAAATTCAAATCAAATAAACATGCAGCTTTATGAAAACAAATTGTCAGTAATGCAGCTAATAGAAATGATTAATTTAAACAGAGAGAAAGTCAGAGAGCCGATGAGTATATACGTACAATCAAAGATAGTCTAGACATAGCTGTTTCACAATGTATACAAGCAGCTGGACATGAAGTAGAACCTTCAAAACAGAGAGCTCTTCTCAAGGTAAGATTATAGGGGGGACGCTTGATTGACATTTTCAATCTTAATCCATAGATTATGTGTTCTAGCCCTTCTTGGGTTTAAGATAATGGTACAAAAATTGGCAATAGTTATTGGTCAGTTAAGGAATAATGTATTTCTCTATCAATCTAGTATGTAGAGAAGGAAGGGAAGTAAAACAACATGTCAAGAATACCAGAGTGGGTTTAAGGTACTTGGTTAACAGTTTTAGTCAAACAATTTCATCATGATAAAACAATATAAATATGAAAATTTGTAAATAGAGTATACGAAACTTGTAATTACATGTCATGTGACTTTATCAAAATGTTTATTTGAAATTAATTCGGAAACTTGCCAAAAAGAATTGTGAGTCTTGCCAGTATATGGTATATAAATGTTCATATATGATTCAAAAATACCATATATATAGTTCCAATAGAGATGATTGGTTCATTTGTATTGCTATACTGAACCAATTGTATCTTGCCGTACAATTTCCATGTTGTAACATCTGAAAAAGCCAGTGTTAGATGAGGGACACACTGATTTTGGTGCTTTTTATCTTTACATTTTTCCTGTAGTTATTGTTGTAAGTTGATATTTTGTATATTTCCAGGCTGCTTCCTTTGGCAAATGCTTCCTGACAGACTATAATCCAGAGCCATTCTTCAATATGTGCCAAATGTTGCGAATACTCAATCAAGTACGGAATCCTAACATCGGAATTCCCCTCACATATTCACAGTATCCTTTTGAAGTTGTATACGATCTTATTTTTTCTAAACTAGGATTATGCGAAGCTATTAATAAAATTAAATATTTATTGTGTACATGTCAATGATTCAAAATACTCCTGAAAGTTTGTTATTGTTTTTAAACTATTGAAAACCTTTAAATGTGTTAGGTTGCATACAGTGCTAAATATAATGATTACTGTCAAGTATGAACAGAAATTTTATGACAAGTTTATCCCAGGGATTCTTATATGTAATAGGGCATGTTTCCTATTCTGAAATAATCTTGGATGCAAAAAAATCTGATGGCAGGAAAAACCTTTCTCAAATCTTCATTTATTTATTTTCTAAAGATCCTAGTATTTTGTAAGATATGATATGAATAAGTTGTAGCTTGAAAGTTAGAATGTCTATAAATACTAAATATTAAAATTTGTGTTGGTTTTTGATCCAATTATCCTATAAATACATGTAGAGTGTAAATATAGAAACATTCCTGAACTGTTGTTTAGATTAGAACATCTTACCATGGCTGTACTAATTGATAGATTGGTGTTAAGGAAATATTTCTACCTAGCTATCAGGATATGTCAGTACCTAAAATTACCAGAATCTGAGGGAGCCAGTAGGATTCTTGCTCATTGGGCATGCTACAAGGTAAAATTTTAATTATATTTGTATATACCTGTACCATGTGACATTTTATGATCTGCATGGGGCAGATCCTGATTAAGTGAGAAAAACTATTGCAGCTTAAGCAGTATCAAATCTTTGCCACAGTTAAGTATTGGAATCATTGATGCTGAAGTCTTGTAAAGTGAGTATATTACAAATAAGTTAGTCAAAGATGGTGAAATTTGATATTGACAGGTGAGATATTTATGTTGCAGGTGTTACAGAAGAACGAAGATGATGAACAGGTAGCATATGCTATACGAGACAAGATGGGGGATACACCAGGTGTTTCCTATTCTGATATAGCCAGCAAAGCTTTGGAATGTGGCAGGACTGACCTAGCCATCAGGGTATGCACAATTAATGACATGTAATACAATTAAACAGTCACAGAAAATATTACAATGTGTTAAAGTGTATTGCTGTATGCTACATAGGATTTAAATTTTTCTTTTTTATGCTAAATAATTTTGTACAAACATTCACTATATAAATTAACAATATGTTGCTTGCAAGATGTTGTGTCCTTAGCTCAAAGGTCAAGATAATGGCAAAATATGAACTTTGTGTCAAAGGTCAAGGTCACAACAAGGAATTTAACTTAGTATGTACATCATATAGCCTTTAGTGAAGCTGTTAATCTTAAATACAAACTTTAAATTTTTCAGCTTTTGGATTATGAACCAAAGGCAGCACGTCAAGTGCCACTGTTGTTACAGATGAAGAAAGAACACATTGCTCTTAACAAGGCCATAGATAGTGGAGATACTGATTTAAGTATGTCCTGTTATATGTACTGTACAGAATTTATATAATCAACATTGAATATAAACAGTTTATCAAAGGAGCTCCTTTTTTATGCCTTCACTACCTGGGGAAGGAGTAGGCTATAGATTTTCTCTTGTCTGTCACACTATCCAACTGTAGACTGTAAAACAGTGGAATGTTGGGTCATCTCTGTTCTATATACACAGTTATTGAAGATTATATCTTTATTTTTCAGTTTATTTTGTCCTAATGCGACTTAAGGATACTATGCCACAAGGAGAATTTTTCATGGCAATTAGAAATATTCCAGTAGCTCTATCACTTTTTCTGCAAGTAAGTTATTTCAGTTTTTTACTGAAAATGTTTTTAATGATATGTTAGTTATTATGCCCCCAATAGAGTGGGAGCAATATAGCGTTTGCACTTGTCCGTCCGAGTGTTCCGTCCGTCCGTCTGTCTGTCCGTACGTCCCGAAATCTTGTGAACGCAACTCCTCTTAAAACCGGATGGCAGATTTGCTTAAAACTTCAGGGATGAACAACCTTAATGTGTAGATGGTAGTAAAGGAAGGAGATTTTTGCTGCGACAAATTTAACAGAATTATGGCCCTTTGTTGATTTTTTTCACTATATACTATGTAGAAATTTTGTGAACGCAACTCCTCTTTAAACCGGATGGCAGATTTTGCTTTATCTTTCCAGGGATGACAACCTTAATGTGTAGATGGTAGTAAAGGAAGGAAATTTTTGCTGCGACCAAATTTTAGCAAAATTATGACCCTTTGTTGATTTATTAGTTTTTCAACTTGTGGCACATGTAGTCCAAAAATATTTGACTAGAGTCATAAGATTGACAGAACAGTGGCAGTGGTGGCATCCGTTGTCCCTATGGACCACATTTTCTGGTTTTATCAAGTTTTGATAAGTAATGTAGCTGTAATGTAAAAATGTGTTACCCTCTTTCAAAAGAAAGCCAACCATTCCAAAAAATTATATGGGTAAATTCAAAAATTTATATTGAATTTGAATAGTAAACAGGGCAGAACTTCCCCAGAAGATGATGGATAGCACAATCCGCCACCTCTCTTGGATATTCATTGCTTTACTTAGTTGGGAATCTGTTGTTGCAGTACTTGTAAGAGTAAATTTGATATATAACAGCTTTGGTTATTAATGTGCCCGGGGAAAAAATTAAATTTCCTTTTTGATTTTTTTATTAACCCTTGTTTTTTTTTTTTTTCAAGAACAGAGGACCTTATTTAAAAACCCTAAAATTCCGGAAATTTCCAGGGGGGCCCATTTTCCCGGGAAAAGTTTTAAACAAAGGTAAATTTTTTTTTTAAATTTTTTAAATTCAATCCTTTTTTTGCCCTAATTTTGGTGTAAAATTGAGGATGGTAACAATATTCGGAGACCCTTCTTGGGGTTTTTTTATCCAATTTTTTAAAATTTTTTAAAAAAGGGTATTTTTTTTTACCCTTTTTAAAAACCCCATGTTTGGAAAAAGTTTTTTTTGCACATTTTTCCCCGATAAAATTTAAAATTACTTTTTTACTTGAATTTTTACGAAAAATTTTAAAGAGCATTTTTTTAACTCAAAAATAATTGTAAGGAAATAGGGGGTTTTTTCACATTCCCCGATTGGGTTTTTAATAAAAAAAAAAAAATAGAAAATTTTTTTAAAAAACTTTTTTCGATTTTAATTTTTTAAATTAAAGGCCATCCAATTTTTAATAATGCCAAAGAAAGTTACATGAAAGCTAGGAATGAATTTGCTGCAAAGGTCTGTATCTTTATATTTTAGATGAATATATTTTTGTTTTTAATTAGGAAATAGATAGCAAATTTTAGTGCATTGTTGTAGAATAATGCACAGTTCAATAGGCTTAAGTTTAACTAAGCATTTAAAAAGATAAACCATGCATTATTTTACTACAACACAAGAAAAATATCTTTTTCCCATTCTAACATGCTTATAAAAGCGACTTGATAAAATTAAACTGAACTACATTGACATCATGTGCAAAGCCAAACAATGTGTAAGCGTTCCTTTTTTATGCCATGCATATATCATGTTATGATGCACTCAACAGTCCTATCTGCTTGAATGAGGAACAAAAATAAGGCTGTTAGAATTTTCCTTTTGTCAGGTGCTGTTTTAAAAACCAAATCTGGAAAGAAAAAGTTATGATGGTTGTTTCTGCTATAAGCGTATGAAATCTTTAGATATGATATTATGATATCTATAGTTTAAATTTATACTTTTTCATGACTGTAGCTAATCTGAGGGATACAAACAAACTTTTACAGTTATAGCTTTGAAAATAAGCACAACAGGTTGATTAATCTATTGGTACTGGGGGATTAGCTTGGAAAAACCCACATTTGCCGAGTTCCGGATAACATCTATTGTTAAATTTTATAAAGCAATATCAGACTACCTATAATTGGTACAATATTTATTTGTATCTAGGTATAATCATCAGTATAGTAGGATTTTTCAAGAACATAAAATTTCATGAAATGATTTTATATATGTAGCAAGTTGAAGACGAGATAAAATTACTCAAATATCAACGACGATTGGAGGAAGAGCTACGCAGACCATACATGGATCTTTCTGTACATCAGACGGTTCATAAACTTATAGTGGATAATAGTCATAAGATGGCTGACCAGATTCGTAAAGAGTTCAAGATTCCAGACAAAAGGTAACAATATTATGTCTGTCGGAAAGGAGCATAAAGTTGAACATTTTCTATGTACTCCCTGAATAATGGTGGTTGTTAATATAATAGAGTCAATAATTTTGCTATAAACTGTAGAAGGCTTTAAATTTACATTGTTGGTATTTTGTGTGTTTTTTTTACCTGTGAATTTTTACAGAAAAAAAAGTTGTTTTTCTCTTTATTGAGGTATTTAATAATTCAGGTCATTATCATAGTCAAAATATAAAGTGTTGCTGAATAAAATAATATTGGGTTTACTGTTTACATAATAAATATGAATTGGCGAAGACATTGCTCCTTGAATATTGGCGAACATTAATCTATCTGGGAATAAAACCATTTCTACAGTATAGAGATAAGAAAAACAATGCTTTTAAGGCTTCTAATTGAAATCTGATCTTTTGTTAAATAAACCAGTGCCATCTATACAGGAGTTAATTGTAATGCCTCGTAAAAAGTTTGTGATATTTTCAGGTATTGGTGGTTGAGAATAGATGCTCTTGCTGAGGCTGGAGAGTGGATGGAACTTGACAAGTTTTCTAAGACAAAGAAACCTCAATTAGGAATGGAGGTTAGAAAAATCTTTAAAGAATATCTCTCTTTTGGGCTGTAGCTAATTGCACATTGTTGATAAATGATAAAAGTTATTTATGAAAGTTATTTTTGAAGGAATGATCTGTTTTGCCTACATCAGGTTGATACTTGCATAATATTGCAGGTTTGTAACATCAATTTTCATTGGACACTTGTGACACATTTGACACATATGAGCCACGTCACGACAAAACCAGCATAATGGGTTTTTGACCAGCATGGATCCATGCTGTTCGCTATCAGTTTCTCTACTTGTAATAGAGTTGGTAAGCGAACAGCATGGATCCTGATCAGACCGCGCGGATGTGCAGGCTGGTCTGGATCCATGCTGGTCGCAAAAGCACTATGTTGGTTTTGTCGTGACGCGGCTCATAGATTATCTGAGTGCTACACAGTCATGAATTAATCTTTTTACTGCAAACTATATCAATGTCTTTAATAAGGGAAATCAGTAAGCCATGTATTTAGCATTCAGAATTTGAATAGAGATTTGGTCTCTTCTGTCATATTGTTTTAGTTATGGTTTCCTTCAGGAATGAGATTTTTGGAAAGGTCGTTGTAAAGTGCATCAAGCTATATCTGATGAAATGTTCACGGATTTTTTTTAAAAAAACAACATCGAAATAATTTTGTTTTCATAATCTTAAGTGGTATCTTGAAAGATTTTAACATAGAATCTCTAGTAATTACATATACATGAATCTATGGATAAATTAAAAAAAAAATGTCAATATGATTTTCAATGTATTTCAATTTACAGGCTTTTGTGGAAGCATGTTTAAAGCATGGAAATAAAAGGGAAGCAATGAAATACATTCCAAGAGTACTACCAGATAAAAAAGTTCAGTGTCTCATTCAAATGGGGTAAGTTTTGTATAAGAGAATAAGAGACTAACTTTGGTTAGTTATATTGGTGTTGTTTAAAATGAGAGATAATGATTTGTGATTGAGTTTGAATTCAAAGACTTGGTTACATATTCTAATGAGAAATTTACTTTTGAATTTACTACATAAAATTTAAAACTATGTACTTCGCTCAGGAGGGTTTCTCTTTGAATGCCTGTTTTAGATGATTCTTTGAAGCTTGGGTTATATTCTTAGTACTTAACCTGAATAGGAAAGCACAATTTAATTAGTTGCCATGTTTCCTTGTCACATTGTAAAAAGTTTGCACTGTACATGTAATAAATAATTTATACATATTTAAGTTTGAATTTGGTTGGAAAAAATACCTCTGTATTTTATTTCTTGCAAACTGATTGATTTAAAACATTTATTATAATATCATCGTATGACTTTGTTAATTTGAATTAATTTATAAATTTTAAACTCCAGTTTCAAAAGGGTAGGGGTAAATTGTTGAAAGTGCTTTATAATACTGCACGTTTGTAACGTCACTTTTCATCGGATAATCATGACGTTTATATAGTTTTATATGCACGGCTGCTACCAATTTTCTAAGAAATCTCATTTTTTTCTCAAAAAAAGGAAGTTGCTGCATTATAAATTCGTTATAAATATTCCTGACAGTTTATATGACGGAATATAAATGGTTGTTTGCAGTATAACCCTCGCCTAGCGGCTCGGGTTATATTTCAAAACAACCGTTTATATAGGGCCATATAACCTTTCAGAAATATTTATAACTTGTAATATACTTGTGTTTTGAGGTAATATTGTGTTACTTGTATTTCAGTGATCTTAAACAAGCTGCAGAAGCTGCATTTGAGAATAGGAACGAGGATGATTTGAACAAAGTATTGAGGAAGTGTACTCTGGCTGACCGTGCAATAGAGGACCAAATTAAAGGTTACAAACAGCAACTAGCTGGTGGACGAAGATAATACTATAGCTTTCAGTTTTGACTGAAAAGTGCTTTTAGTCTCTGAGCTGTAGGAGTAACTTTACTATGCTACCAGTATTGAGCCCCACTAAAAATCTTGTGAGACTTTGCTATTAGTTAATATAAATTTGATTAATTTTGATACTTGAATACCTTCAAGTAACAGTTATCTGTAATAACAGAATGTTTATTTTCAATTGTTTGGTAATATGCCAGCCAAGGGTGCATTGCTTTTGAAAGAACCCTTGGTTATGTTGTGTTTTCCAATAGTTATTTGCTGGGTTTTTTTGGGGTTTTTTTTTGGTTTTTTTTTTTTGAGAATATGCTTCAGATAAAGAAAATCTAATATCAAGCTTTGAATTTAAACTTACAGCAATAAGAGCCCATAACATTTCAGTATATCAAAACAAAATGTGTATTTAGTTTTCTATTGTTGTAGTCCTGTTATGCAGTGAAAGTGGAAAATTTTGTGTCAGGGTATGTTTTTCTGTTTCAGCCTTAAATGTGCAACAGTTTTATTTTGAAAACTTTTAACAAACAAATTTCATTTTTGCTTATTCAATTGAGAGTTATTTCATGTTATGGTAATATGTGAAATTGATATATGTGGAAATGAATGATCATTGAAGTTAGGTAATTTATGTATAAAATTGTGCAATATTTGTTATTTATATGAATGTATAATAAAAAGATATTTAAATGAATGAATGAAAGTTTGTTTTTCACATAAAGAAACGGAGCAAAAATAAATTATAAGATTCCCTGCCCTTTAGAAATGTATTTTAATTTTGAAATTGAACAAGTATTCTAAGATTGAAATGATAACTTTTGTCAGTCTTTGAGAAATTGACCATAGCGAAACAAAACAAAAAATAATGTCAAAAAGGGGCATAATTTTGAAAAAAAAGGAATATCTTCACTTTTAGAATTGTATCCTTTTATTAGCTCACCAGAGCGGAAGGCTCAGGGTGAGCTATTAGTATCAAAGGGGGATGCTCCGTCGTTCGTCGTCATGCGTCAACAATTGTCTTCTTCTCTGAAACTACTGGACAGATTTACTTCAAATTTGGTCTGTAGCATCCTTGTGACAGTCACACTTGAATTTGCTCATGTCATTTCAGTTTTAAATGTATCTACCTCAAATTTCAAATACTTATTCCTTATCACCAATTACATCTTATGTGACAAGGTTCATAACTCTTGAAACAATATTTTCAGATTTATCTCTCTTTGAACTTAGAATTTTCTTTGAGAGATATAAAACTTCTTTACTTTTTAAGGTATCTACTTCAAACTTCAAATATATATTTCTTATCATTACACACATGTTGTGTGACAAGGTTCGTAACTCTAGCTCGACTATTCAGAATTATTCCCCCTTGAACTTGGAATTTATGTTAACAAATGTTATTTTTTTACTATAACTTAATACATTATTATACATAATTGATTTTTCGTTCATAGTTTTTTCTTCCTTACTGCGTCCAGTATTTTATTAGTCGAGCTTCGCTGTCTCCTGTGACAGCTCTTGTTCTTGATATGATCTTGATATGATTTATAATGTTAGAATAAAAATGTGTCACAGGGTAGAATTAGTGCTACAATTCCTGGCGTAGGTTCGTCAAATTTAATGAATGTAATATGAAGAAAATACTTAAAACTATAATACGTTAATTAAAACAAACATAAAACACACTGGCCATAGCTTTCTCAGAAGCGGCGGGTCTATCGCAGCGGCAGTGGAGTATTTGTTGCAGAAGCGGTGGATAAAATATGGTGGATAAAATATGGCCGTTTGCTGTTTCCGGTAAGTGTATGACTGAATTATGTTTTAATGTTTTACTGGAAACACTTAGTGAGACTGGAACCAACGTATGTACTCTTTTAACATATTACACGCACACGGTGCAAATCATTGCCGTTTATGTAAACATTTCTGTACAGTTTGACGAGGCAATAATTTATTTTATGAACAGGCAATAATAATTTCCCAAATTTCAAAATTATGGTTTATTTGAGAAAGTATCATTCATAAGATGTGATGCCGTTGTATTATGGGGTCGTTTGCACACATTTGTACATGTTTTAACAAAAATTAGGCACAAGTGGCGTCCCCTCGTCAAACAGTACAGAAATGTTTGCATAAACGGCAATGAATTGCACTGTGTGCGTGCAATAAAGTTGAAGAGTACATATGTAGGCTCCAGTCTCACGTAAGTGTTTCCAGTTAAACATGAAAACATAAAACAAAATTTAGTCATATACTTACCGACAACAGCAAACGGCCATATTTAATCCAACGCTTCTGCGACGAATACTCCACTGCCGCTCTGATAGACCCACCGCTTCTTAGAAAGCTATGGCGAAGTAAGAAGATAAAAAAAGTTATTTCATATAGTAATTTGCGATACATGCATATAGTTCAAGCAAATATAAAAACTAATACAGAACAAACAAATCGGCCGACTCCATGAATCAATAAGTCACTGGTTACGGAAAAACGTCACCATATATTGACATTTGAGATTCAATTTATTTACAAAATGCACAAGTCCCACAATAGCGGGAAACATTAGCAGTATACATACATAAACATATACAAATACATAATGGAAAACAGCTATATTTCATTCTTAGGATAATAGTAATATATAGTTAAAATTTGGTGAGAAAAAATATATATTATAGTAAAATATTTAGTATGACTAATGGATCAAATAGATGTTTACACCTTTCATAATAACCTGAACAAAACGAAACGGAAGCCTATCGAAAAAAAACAAAACTCGAAAGATATCCAGGTTATAAACAGGTTCTAACAATTTATCATTCATTTCAGTATCAATTGTTTGTAATAAAACAGAAAGTTTCATATTTGAATCTTAGATTTGCTTGAGAAAAAAAATAAAATGTGCGCAACGTACTTATAGCATAAAGATTGTAATTTAATACTTAATGTAATAGTGTGAAATTATATTTATTATACATATAGCCGAGATGACATAGTATTTCAAATATCTTAAGATATTCTACTTTTCAAATTTCAACAAAGGTGATTGATTACATGTTGCATAATTTCAACCTTTTTATGAAAGAGAGAGAGAGAGACTTATATTAAGTACTTATAACAAAGAAACAAATTTTCTTTTAAATAATTCAAATGTCAAATAAATAAATATATTTATATGCTTTAGTCAATATATAATGATTGATTTTGTATATTTAACAATATAAACTTAACTCTTTCATGATACACAAGAAAATGAAAATAATGCAATATATTTGCAGCATAAAGAGCATTTTTGTCAGTAATGTCATTTCAGAAGAATAGTAAATATTCTAAATTTTCAAAAAATGTAGTATTTTAATGTTTCACAATGTGACATATAAGTTTTAGTGAACCTTTCATAAACATCTTATGTGAACTATGTGAATACAAATTACAGAATATACTGTTTTTAAACAGAAATCATTAATATCTAATACATAAACATGGTATATTAGTATGTTGACATATTTCATCCACCAATACCTTAATCTACAATGTACATGTCATAGACAATATATGTAACATAGAGAATAATCAAGAAAAAACAAAATATTGCATAATTTTATTACAACAGATACTTAAATTTTCTAATTTCTTCATATTTCTACAGTTTAATAGTTCTATGAATTTAAACATACTTGGTCTTTGTCGGTAAAAATTATCTATATATTTTCTTCTTTCGTTTTCAAATATTGGACATTTAAAAATGTAATGAAATTTATCTCCTATATCTCTACAAAGAGTGCATTTACGATCGTTTATGGGTATGTTTTGCCAACGTCCCGTTTCAATTGGAAGTCGATGGTTCCTTGTTAAAAACATAAAAAAATTCCTAGCAAAATACAGAGGTAATGTGTCTATGTAAGCGCTTCTACAAAAGTTTTCTTTTATATATTTATACAAATTAGAGTCTGACGTATTGTTAATTTCAGCTCTCCAGCTTTGAATATAGATATCTTTTAACTTTTGAAAGTTTGCTTTAATAAGCCATTTACTACTGCTAAAACATTGAGCATACCATATTCCAGAAAAACCTGTCTCACATAAATATTGTTTAACATTTTCTATCCAGAGTGACTTAACTAAATAATTATTTTGTAGTTCCCTTAAAACAATATACAACTTTGATGATAGTTTCGCTGTTTCATTACTATTTATATTATCAATAAGTCTTGTCCAGTATGATACAACCCTATTTTTAATATGAATTTTTAAAGGAAAAATGCCTGTCTCTCCGTACACCATATAAGACGGTGTAGACTTTATTAAATTAAAAATATATTTGTAAAACTTCAGTTGAACTTTTTCCAAAACAGAAACATCACCAAATCCCCAAATTTCACTTCCATATAATAAAATTGGTTTGATTGTCTTTTCAAATAGTTCAATTTGTAAATCAAACGGTAAAGCTAACAATTTAATTTTCCTTAACAATGCAAACATAGCTTTATTTGCTTGTTCTGCAATTGCAATTTTAGATTTATAAAAAAAGCCACTTTTATTAAAGTATATACGTAAATACCTAAATATTTATATTCATTTACAACTTCAAGAACGTTTTCTCCTATTGTAAACACTTTACAACTTTTAGGACGGCCTTTACTGAAAATCATAATTTTTGTTTTGTTTTACATTAATGTTTAATTTCCATTGATCGCAGTATTCTTTGAATTTATTTAGGGCAATTTGAAGATCTTCTTCATTATCACTGAATATGACGGTGTCGTCAGCGTAAAGTAAAATAAAAAGTTTCAAATAAACCCGCACCCCTTCAACAAAAGCTTCTCTAGAAACTCCATTTACACCACTACTATTAAAATAGCTTTCAAGGTCATTCAAGAAAACTGAGAATAGAAAAGGAGACATGTTTTCCCCTTGACGTACCCGAACAAGACAGTCGAAAAAAGGGGTACATCCTTCAGAAGTTACCACTCGCGATTTAATGTTATTATAAAGACTTTTAATGACAATAAAACATTATCCATTTATATTATTTTGTCTCAATTTTTGCCATAATCCAACCCTCCACACGGAATCAAAGGCCTGTTTAAAATCAACGAAACAACAATAAAATTTTTTCCTATTGGATTGTACAATATCGATTAGACATTTTAGAATAAAAATATTATCAACAGTAGAAAAGTTTTTTCTAAACCCTGCTTGTGTTTCATGTATAAGATTCGTGCTATCAGCAAATTTATTCAACCTTTGATTTATTATACATGTGAAGAGTTTTCCAAAGCAACTTAAAAGTGATATTGGACGATAATTTTCAGGTAATTTTACATTCCCTTTATTTTTATATATAGGTTTAATATGTCCTATAGTCCAGCTCTCAGGAATAACACCTTTATCAAAAATAATATTTAAAAGTTTTTTTTATAAATTGTTAACATCAAGCCGATAGAATTTTTTATATGCTCGTTAAGAATTTGATTCGCCCCTGGTGACTTATTTGTTTTGAGACTTTTAACAGCATCTAAAAATTTCTTTTTCTGTTAAAGGGCCATTTATTTCCTCGTTCATTATAGCATCATCGCCTGTGTAATTTTCATTTCTATAATCATTATCATCAGCAGTTGTATTATCATTTAGACGTTTGAAATACTCAAAAAAGTCATCAAGGGAAGCAATATTTTCTTGCTTAACTTTTGTTTTATTAATAATCTTCCAATATTGCTTAGGGTCAGTATGCTTTAATTTCCGTAGCTTGATGATTGTATAATTATTAAAATTATTCGTAAAGTACCTTTATACTGTTTACATACAGATTTTAATAGTTCTTTGAAATATGGAGTTTTAAATTTATTATAAGCTTTTCTAGTTTTATGATAGGTATTTCTCATCATATTACATGACCTATCAAACCATGGAAATGTATTCTTTTCACTTGATTTGTCTGTTTTTTGTGTACAAAACCCAAAAGAAATTTCTGAACTTTCTTGAAACAAATTTGAAATATTAAATACAATATCATCCAGTTCATTTTGTAAAACAATATCATTCTCGTTTAATTGGTCAAGTTTCATTTCAATTTCAGAAATCTTAAAAATATCAAGATTTTCAGCAAACAATTCAGCTTTTTTTTTTGCAATCCCATAATATTGGTTTTGGGGTAAATCGTTTACATTGTACCGTTGTATTAACAATATCACATGATTTAACTTTAATCACAGCCTCTAGAGCACAATGCACACCAGAAAGTAGGCTGCAAAAGTCATGAATTTTAAAGTCTAACAACATTTTCAAAAACATAAGATGATGACAAAAAATAATCTATAGTACTTGTGTTCTTACATGTTAATTTAGCAACACAATAATCTTCTCCAATTCTTCCGTTCCAAAGGAAAATATTGTTATTTTTACATAGGTCAATAAATTGGTTACCATAATGATTTACAACAGTATCCGAATTCTTTCTATTTACATTAATGTTATACAAGCTGAAATTTGTCATAACTTCACAATCTTCGTTTTGTATACTTTGTAAATCATACATATCTGATATAAATGGATCAATTTCAAATAATCAATCAGGTTACCACAACGTGCATTACAATCTCCAAATAACATGCAATGTTTGTTATTTGAAAAATATCTGAATATTTCATTTTGGATCTCAAAAAATGGGTCATTATGAGCAAATTTTGAGCCAAGTGGGGGTACATAAATAACACCACATTTCAAATCTTCGTCATATAAGCTATCATTTGATCCATATAAGTCTTTTGATATAGTAAAAAATTTAACAAGATTACTATCATTTTTAGAGTCTACTTTTACATATGGGGCTAATTTATCTTTGACCAGCAATGCAATGCCACCTGAACGATAATTTGTTAATTCTTTCTATTATACATGTACACAACGATTCGTTTCAATTTTTTTCTTAAGCGTCCTATTTAATCTGTTTGATCGGTCATTTGTTATGTACATGGTGTAAACATGATACATTGATAAAGATATTTTTCTGAACCTATTCACGCCGTTTATACCAAATGTTGATTTTTAACTTAAAGCAGCTTGCCTCTAAATGAGTGAAAAATAAATACTTAAAACAATCAAACATAAGAAAAACTAAATCTTTATTGAAATAATTATATACATCAAATCACTTGGCCCTCACCGTTGTGAGTTCGATTCCAGAAGAAATCCAGAGAGCTTACGGAACGTTGGTGGTTCTGCTTCGTGAAGTAATGCACAAAGGGCACCTGATGTCTTATTACGACAATAAAGCTGAAAGTCGCCATATAACCTTTACTGTGTTGGTGCGATGTTAAACTCAAAAACCTTTAAAAATTCATTCTCAACACGTAAACTTATTCTTTTAATTAAATTTATCGTGTAAATAAATATAAAGATTATGAGTAAACTATCTTTTAAACAAAAATATGAGTTACTTCTGTAGATAGTTAGTGGTTTAATTTAGTTTAACTTAACAATGTTCTCAAACAGTTGAACACAAATTTGGAGGCGTGCGGCTTTAAAACGTGATAATGCCTTTTGTTTGTAGATATAAATTTTAAGATTTAATTGTTTATGGAGCTATAGTTAAATTAAAGTCATTCATGTCAGATAAGATCTGAACGTAATCCAATCAACCCTTATGCACACCTCCTTAATTTATGAAGCGCTTTAAATAATTGTCATTCCATTTCGTCCTTCGAGAACATTAAACTATCTGTTAATAAAACATAAAATGAATAAACGCAAAATTTAAAGAAACATAAAAACAAAAATAACTGTTTGTGAGTCGTATTGTGACAATATGTATCATTTGTGTAAACTTTATCTATAAAAAAATACATTTTCTTGTGTGTGTTTTTTTTTAAATAAAACATTCGTTTTAAAGGTATGTGTCTTACAATTTTGGATTAACATTGGAAGAGATAGACGCAAAAAGGTAAAGCTTTTTTAGGAATCATTAAAAAACATAGATAGTAAATCTTTAGAAATTAATAAGAGGATATTTTTAGTTTTAGTGAAATATGGAATATATTTTCACGAAACATGATAAAAATCATGTTGAGTGCAAATATATACCATATTTCACGAAAAACGAAAAAATAACCTTTTTATTTAATTTAATTATCAAAGTAATATGGTTACGAACACCCTCGATTGCTATGCAATTGTACAGCGCACAGTAATATAGATGCGTCTTATTTTGTACGCGATATTTGGCGCTACACTGTGACGTCACGTCAACAACTCTTAAACGCCTGTACAGCGTTAATGACTGATTTAAAGATATCGGTGTTCGAATTTATTTTCTTAGTTAGACCATTTTCTATCATTCTACATAGTTTTCAAAACGAAATTCAACAAAAGGTTGTTTTGTATTTATCAGATTTTTCAAACAAAATGGCGAAAGAAGTCCCTTAAGAGTGCAAATATATACCATATTTCACGAAAAACGAAAAAATAACCTTTTTATTTAATTTAATTATCAAAGTAATATGGTTACGAACACCCTCGATTGCTATGCAATTGTACAGCGCACAGTAATATAGATGCGTCTTATTTTGTACGCGATATTTGGCGCTACACTGTGACGTCACGTCAACAACTCTTAAACGCCTGTACAGCGTTAATGACTGATTTAAAGATATCGGTGTTCGAATTTATTTTCTTAGTTAGACCACTTTCTATAAATATATACCATATTTCACGAAAAACGAAAAAATAACCTTTTTATTTAATTTAATTATCAAAGAAATATGGTTACGAACCCCCTCGCTTGCTATGCAACTGCAATTGTACAACGCGCAGTATTATAGATGTGTCTTATTTTGCACGCGATATTTGGCGCTACATTGTGACGTCACGTTAACAACTCTGAAACGCCTGTACAGCGTTAATTAATGGCTGATTTAAAGATATCGGTGTTCGAATTTATTTTCTTAGTTAGACCATTTTCTATCAGTCTACATAGTTTTCAAAACGAAATTCAACAAAGGGTTGTTTTGTATTTATCAGATTTTTCAAACAAAATGGCGAAAGAAGTCCCTTAAAATAAATATGAGTTTTGACTCCGCCGACTTTCATATGCATATTTCATTTTTATTTTTAAAAAATATGAAATATATTTGACTGACATAGCACCATATTTCATGGGTTTAAATTAAATAATACTGTACACATAGGTGTTCGGCGCGTTGATTGGTCACTACCCCGCCCCCCCCCCCCTCACCAACTCTACAACCCTCCTACCTCTCAAAACCATGTAATTTGTAGTAATTTTCATTTGAAACATGTTTTAATATTTGGTACATGCTTTTAATTCAATTACCTTCATCTCCCACAAAAAAATAAAAAAAATGATATAATATATATTTAGTAAAGGTATGCAACTCGCCGCTCATTTTATAGCACTCATCTTAATATGAACTCCATAACTCCAACATTTTTTATCCAATTTTCAATATCTTGGTATCAAATGGTAGGGATTTGATTACTCTTAAAGGAATTAAAGCTGTCAATACAATCATTTCAAGTAATAAGAAGATATGTAATCTCGAAGTCACCGCAAGTGTAACTCGACAGAGACCTGACCGCTGGTTTTTTTGTCAAAATTAAGAGGTAGGAGGGTTGTAGAGTTGGTGAGGGGGGGGGGGTGTTGGCCCGGAGGTAGTGACCAATCAACGCGCCGAACACCTATGACTGTACATTGTTATGACAAATATTGGAGTATGGTGACGTTTTTGTGTTGGGTGGGTGATTATCATTTGTTATAAACGTATAACATTATGTCCTTTAATCTACAAATTAACACTGACTTTTACAAATCACTGGAAAAGAAAAGCATTTTTGGTTATAGGTGTACTTATTGTGATGTTGTGTTTGTCAGTCGGATATTTAGTTTGCTGATCAATCAAATGTCAATTTTACAGTTTTCTCCTGATTGTGAAAGCTTTTTCCGTTACGTGAATTGATAACTAACTTAGTATGCAATTTTACAAGCTAGCTATCAATATTAAGTAGAAAATCTCTATTGTCAAGATGCATCATAATTAGGTTCAAGGTCACAATTATCATGAATGTGAAACTCCTTTTCTTTTTTGAAACTTTAGTCATATTTACCATATATAACCATCACTGTTATATGGAGTCTCTAAGCAGTCAATGACAAAGTAACAACATGTTCAAAATACAGCAGCTAGAATTATGACCAATACACTCAAATATGACCACATAACACCTATCTTACGTGAACTTCACTGGCTTCCGGTAAAGTATCGGGTCGAATATAAAATTTGGACTTAAACATATAAATCCCTCATCGGTCAATCACCAGCCTATATAAAAGACATGATAGACGTGTACATTCCAGTCAGGAATCTGAGGTCCCAGAATAACTCAGTTAGTTGTGCCTAAATCTCGGACAGTACGATATGGTGACAGGTGCTTCTAGACAGCCGCAGCGAAATTATGGAATGTGTTACCACCTGGCATTAAAGACTGTAATACATTGCCAAGTTTATGAGAGCTCTCAAAACACATTATTTCATAAAGTTATATGGACGTTAGTTTCATAAAACAACATACATGTACTACTTTTGCTATATTATCAGTGTAAATTGTGTGTTTGATTTTATGTTTTAGGGTTTTACTTTATAATTGGTTCTTTTTTACTTTTGTTTGTTACTTTTAAAACAATCTTATTTCGTTCAAATCTTTTATAGGATTTTTTGTTTTTGTTTAATTCAGCCTTGATTATAAACTAAATGTGTCTGTATTTCTTACCATCCTTTACTAGTTTTAGATTATCATTATTGTTTAATTGGTTTACTTACTTAATATTGTATCTTATGTCTTATATATGGTTATGTTTTATCAGATTTATGTAAAGCACTCTTGAACATTTATTATTTATGAAAAGAGTGCTATAGAAATGTGGTATATAATAATAAATAATGATAAATGCCGTTTTAACAAAATATCCTTTATTGCAAAATTTCGCTGATGTGCATTGTGGATTCATTGAGTTTAAGTCTTGAATTCACAAAGTTGAAATCGTTAATTATGTATGTTGAAATCGTTACCTCTTTATTTTTGATTTTTATTTTAATTGAGTGCGCATCTGTAGACTCAGTAAAGACAAGTTGGAATTGAAAATTCGCGCATGAACATATTAATGATTTTTTTTTAACTTATAAAGACATCATCTTGTTACGTAAAGTGATGGATTATTTACAATTGTATCTAATTTATTAACTTTATGAAAACATTATTTATATACCTCTGTAAAAATCGCATTGTGTCTCGGAGACGTGAAGTTATATTAATTAAACAGTGGTACGCCGGTGACCAAAATCAGATTGCATACTTTTTTGTTACAAGCAATGGAATAAGGAGAATAGTTGACAATAGAAATATATATCTCTTAAAGTATCAGATACGAAACTAGGCGGCGATAAAAACAACAATGAGCGATAAAAAAACAAATTATATTATTTAAGAATGTGTTATTTTCAGTATTAAATGGGGTCATCAGGTTTATGAAAAGTTTATGTTATATTAATTTTCTAATGTACTTGTATGAATGCGTGTAGTGTCATCCTGGGCGCTTATGGAGTTAATAAAATAAACTATAATAAGATAAATTACTTGTGTTTATGAGCAGCTTGAATATGCCTATAATATAATGCAATGTCATTTTGAAAATAATATTTAAAGATGGAGTAACATTTTAACATGACTGTCTTATGTCAGAGGAAAGAAACTAAATAAAAGACATTCTTATCTAAAAAAAATCAATTAAGTAAATAAAGTATGCCTCTTATGATAATTATTTTTGAGATTGAAAAAAATTATCGCTGCAAAATGCAGTTTCTTTTAGTTGATTTCTTTATTTATTTTCTTAAATTGCGCAGTCAAGACAAGCGGGATGCATGAACAATTTATGTTTATATGAAGTTATAAGGACAACGCCTTGTTACTTAAACAAGAATTATTTACAAAAGGTATAATCAACTTGATGAATGCAATATTGGTTTATCTCTGTCACACAACAAACGACCGAATGCATTGTGTCACCGAGACGTGAAATGATAAGAACTTTACAGTACAGGGTTACGCCGTGTCCCACTTACAGTAGACAAAATCAGATTGCATTTTTGTTGTTACAATAGTTGACAATAGAAATATATTTCTCTTACAGGATCAATACGAAACTATGCGATAAATACAATAATGAGCTATATAAAAAAACAAATTGTATTATGTAAGAATGTTTTATTTTCAGAAGTAAATTGGGTGATCAGGTTTTATATTTACGCGGGTCATGCTAAAACTGCCCGAATTGCGTTAACGCTACATACATTCGATCAATCTAGTATTACTTTTATTTTAAACTTTCAAACATTTTAGCTTTGTAATGCAAACAAATGTCTTTCAAATAGAATGGTCTGGAGTCGGCCAAATTTTACATAAAAAAGATGTCTCGGCTTAGTCATCATGATATGGCATAGTATATCACCGTTCAAAAATTAAATTATATAGATAATGTTATGTTAAATTGTCTGCAACTATTCATAACAAACAGTCAATGTTTTTCAACAATTCATGGCTTTAAAAGCATAATCTTTGTGAGAAACATATATCTTTTTTCACAAGTTTAAAGATTTTCAAAGAACTTCATCGTTTAAGAATTTTCATTTTTGCTTTTGTGTTTAATTTTCGCCCTTTTCTTGAACACTTACATAATGTGGGTAACTATACCAAACGAGAATGGTTTGCATAGCGAGTTGCCAGACCATTCTATTTGAAAAACCACGTGCAAACCATGGTTTGTTTACCTGAAACAGCAGATTAAATGTCTTCTTACCAGTACTACACGCAGAACGTCTCGAGACAGCATTTTCTGGACTTGGCGTGGTCAAATTCCATACCTTATAATCTGAAGTAAATAAGTCACGTTTCAGGCTTAAGTCCCATTAACACAGTCCCGGTTTTCGTCCCGATTTGCCACGGTTTAGTCCACCGGGATCAACCGGGGTAAAGCGGCGTAGGGCCGTTGCGATCCCGTGAAGTAGCGGGACAAACCGAGATGAACCGGGACTAAACGGGAGATCGTCACGGTTGTATTAAAATACAAGCAGGGCTCGCCGAAACTCACCAAAAAGGAAGCCCAGAACTGTGTTCTATCGGATTGGCTCCGGGATTTGCCGTTGAACCACCGTATCAATACCGCATCTTTATCGTGATAAACCGGAACGCGTGTTTATCAATGGTCACATGACAAAGCCCCTTGATAACAATAAAGTTTTCTCTTCCAAAAGTTGTTGTTCTGAAGATATTGTACAGTATTAAAGGTCACGATTTATCAACATTTTGAATAATCATTATAATTTCTATTTTCAGAGTCAACAAAAAGTCATCAATATGACATATGTATTCCGAGTTCTAACCTGTTTCATACTTGTGAACGCAGTTGTTATAAACGCACAAGGTATATGTCTTATTTAAGTAATATACAACAAAAGTTAATTCTTATACGAGTCTACATAGTGACATCTTACTCCATGCTATGTATATCTACAAGGTTTGAAGAGAATCACTAGGAATCACAAAATATCAATATCCAAGCCTAGTGGTTTTTAAAGGCTGGCAATGTATCTCAAATTCAAAATTCTCCTGCCAACTTAAATGTTTAAGTTGAACGTCTAAGTATTTTAAATAAATGTAGTCAACTCTAAAATATAACATAATTTGTTAATCTTAATTGATTGTGTATGGTCTTAATATTACTGTCTTCTTACTTATGAAAAAGTAATTATACTTTGTTGAACACTTAGCTCAAATGTTTTTTTAACTATTTACTTTTAACCTAATGTTTTAATTTAGTTGAAAATCTAAAATGTCATTACAAAAAGATGCTACATATGTTTCGAAGAGTGCATATCCCAGAGTAACATAAAAGAAAATTAGAAGATATTCAAGTTTTTTCTATGAATACAGGATTTATTTTCATCGAGTGATATCGAGATAAAAATTACATGAGTAGCGGTAGCCACGAATAAAATATAATATTATCATACCATAAAACGACAATAAATCGTGTATTTCTAGAGAAAACATGACTTTTCTGTTTATTATATACATTTTAGCTCACCAGAGCCAAAGGCTCAGGGTGAGCTATTAGTATAAAAAAGGGAATACTCCGGCGTCCGTCGTCCGTCGTCATGCGTCAACAATCGTCTTCTTCTCTGAAACTGCTGGGCAGATTTACCTAAAATTTGGTCTGTAGCATCCTTGTGACAGTCACAGTTAAATTTGCTCATGTCATTTCAATTGGCATCTTTTAAGGGTCAACAGAGCTAAAAATAGAAAAAAATAATAAACATCTCCTTCTACAGAACTAATGGATGGATGATCACCAAACTTTGTCGTTAGCATTCTTTGGTAGTCTTTTATCAAATTTGCTCATATTAATTTGATCGGCCCCTTTTAGGGGCCGCTATAGCTAAAAATAGAAATACTTTAAAACATCTTCTTCTACAGAACTAATTGATGCATGATCCCCAAACTTTGTCTGTAGCATTCTTGGTTAGAGTGTTATCAAGTTTGCTCATATTAATTCTATTGGCCCCTTGTAGAAGCCGGTAAAGCTAAAAATAGAAATACCTTTAAATGTCTTCTTCTACAGCACTAATTGGTGGATGATCACCAAACGTTGTCTATAACATACTTAGATAGTCTGTTAATGTGCTCATATTAATTTGATTGGCCCCTTTAAGGCGTCTCTAGGGCAATAAATAGAAAAATCTTTAGACATCTTCTTCTACAGAACTAATTGATGGATGATCACCAAATTTTGTCTGTAGCATTGTTAGAAAGTATTTTATCAAGTTTTCTCATATTAATTTGATTGGCCCTGTTTAAGTTAAAGCTTAAATGCCCCAGGTCATGGCATTTCTTCAAATGATAGTTTAAAGATATTGTATGCTCAAATTTAAGATAAGAAAATATTGACACAGATACACAGTCTCTTTATAAATATAAAATAAACGTGTTTTGACTTCACACAAAGTTATGCTTTGCTATGTTATGTTATGCTTTAAACTCTTCACACTATAGGTGGTCACAGTATGAATATGATAAAATTGTCATTAAAAAATAGTTTTTTATATAAAAGACCAATTTTCCTTGGCCTATAATAGGATATGCAGCTTCCCATACATAGTTTATTCATTCTTTATTCCAAATAAGACATTTTCAGTAAGAATTTCATAAATTTCAATAAATTTCGATGGCATAGGATATATTTTCATAATGAAAGGGAAACAACTCATAAATGTGTACGTAATTATGTAATGCAATTTTTGCAAAAGAGATTCAATGGCTGGGGGAAAGTCTGACTGTTTATGATGTGTAAGGGTGTAAGGGTGTCCGGTAAACTAAAATATACCTTGTATAATCAGAGCATTTCTACGCTATTGAGTCAAATGTCTGTTATATACTTGCATTAAACCATCAATCACACCGAATGTCAATGTTGCTTATATTTTTAGTTTTTCACAATTTTTCATATCTACTGATAAAAATATATGACTATTTCTCATTATGTCATATTTGTAAAGTTAATATTTTGTCTATATCAAGTTTGTATTTGACTTATATACATAAGGTTTATTCTTTGGCTACATCAGGGTTGTCTTTGATTTATATGCATAAGGTGTATATTTTTTCTATATCAGGTTTTTTATTTGAGTTATGTGCACAAGGTTTATATTGTGGATATATCAGGTTTCTATTTGAGTTATATACATCAGATTTCTATTCTGGCTTTATTGGGTTTCTATTAAAGTTAGTTACATAAGATTTATATTTTGGTTATATTATGTTTGTATTTGAGTTTTATACGTCAGGTTTATATTTTGGCTATATCAGATTTGTATTTGAGTTATGGTAGAGAAGAAGGAGACGACATTATGACTGGAACACTTGACGGTTGTAATGCTGTTGTGCAATCTCCCTTTGCTGTGCCGTTCAGTCAGACAAGATTCAGAACAATCTACGTAAGTTGTAGATCTAATTGTAACCAAAGCCGCCGCAAATATCACTTTCTGACAACTCAATTAGGATTGTCATTTGATATTTTCATATGAAAAGTACCATCATACTGTAGTACAGTGCTTTCCATTTCAATGTTGTTGTTTTTTCTCAAGTTATGTAACATGAAAATATATAAACCATGTTCACGTAACAATTAGACGGTTGTATAGTCTTATAAGATTTCATCTAAAATGGCAGGAAATTAAACTTTGAGTTACAAGAATTAAACTTACACAACTGTTCCCAATTATTGGTATATGAATAAAACAAGGATTTGATAATATTGCGTGTATATTTTGTATTTGATATTTCAGGTTTGTGCCAATGGGCTCGTGTGTTTCAACAGAAGTTATGAAAGTTACATAATTCCAGAAAACCGACAATACAGGCATGATTTAGTTGGTATTTATTGCCTGGCTCCCTACTTCACAGATTTGGATTTGAGATTCTCAGGATCAGTGTGGTACCAGGCATATACGATGGCATCCGACGCTGAAAATATCAGAGAATCCGTGAAAAAGCTTGTAAATGAGACATACTCTATACAAATAACACCGAATTTCATTTTCAAAGCAACTTGGAAGGAGGTCCCTTTATATATATATGATGGATATAGTTACGAGGTATGATTCTATATAAATTTTAAAAATATTATTTAGAGAAATTCATAATCTCAATAACTTATCAGATTTCTCTTTAAGAAACTTTCAATTATAACTGTTATTGTTTTGATCCATGATTAAGTATATATCAATCAAAAAAAAATCCGTGTGTTATCTGTCTTTCAATCATTATAGTATCTACACCAAATAAAACCATAAAACAACTGCTGAAAAATTTCTACTTGGTGATGTTTTTTATATTAAATCATTTTATATTGTTTTAGATTTTACGTTATTTTATAGTATTTGAAAAGTTCACGTCTATCCATTTTACCACAAGTAAAGTAAAAAATAAAGTATTTACAATTTGTGTCATCAAAGTACTCTATACTCGTATGACGTATTTATAATGTATAATTATGAGAAAAATACAGCATCAGTTTACAATTAAACTTTAAATTAAGTTTTCATTAATGCACCACTTCATTTACTGTGTGGAATCATGTTCTGTTCTAAGTGAATAGTGATAAATATAAGGTAATATCAAAGTGAAGAACACGACTTTGACATTGTAATAATTAGATTACCTATAGATAATTGATCATGTGTTAATAAATGTTATAAAAGTATGTTATTGGTAATTTCAGACGGTCACTTTCCAAGTTATCTATGTGACAGACGGAGAAGTTGCCTATTCGTTCTTTTTCTACGAGGGAGATTTTATGAAGTCTGTCTCAAATTTGCAGTTTATCGGACTATTGGTCAATGGTTATGCTGATGGTCTAGATGACAGTTCTGATGGTTCTTATTTACGTCAAGCAGACATCAATCTAATTCTTGAAATCTCAATCTTTTAACTAAAAAAAGTTCAATTCTTTGTTAAGATTAATCACTCCTCATTTACGTATATCGATTCTTTTACGATTTTGAATTAGACTAATGATATACAACGGAAAACATAATTTATTTTGCGAGTCGGCAATACAAATACAAGTACATAAAAACGTTCCCATACATCAGCTTTACGCTTCAGGGCCAATATTAAACTTATTGCTTT